ATATATATATATATATATATATGTTCAATATTAGGCCTACCATGTTATTAGTTTCTTATGTAATTTAAAATGTATGATTAACATGAACGTGGTGTAAAATATGTTGTTATTATGGAGGAGAATTTTATTTCTCCATGATTTCATGCTCTAAATTTTTACCAAACGTAATCGGCTAATTATACCCGTCTCGGTATGCAATAGAAAGGCAAATAGTAAAGTTAGGCCTAATCAAGTGTTAATGATATTGTTGATACAACGATCACATAACAACAGTTCGTGAACACACACTGATTGTACAATTGAAGCTAGGCTCAGGTTTTCTATGGACTTATTGTAAGTTGTTAAGATCATGGCACGAGTGTGTTAACGTCCAAATATAGGCCTAGGCCTGTTAGTGGCTGCGCCGTGTGTGGATCAATATAAACATATGCAATGAAGATGTCATAATTATCGTACAGTACTTGTAATGTGTACGGAATTGCGTATCAATTAGACGAACTATGTTGATTGATTACACACGCTTATTTAGTTCTGTCCTGGTGCAGTATTTGTAGATGTTTCGTGTGAAAACCATGATTTTTCAATAATAGAAGTTGACAATGTTTAGATATAACGTAGGCATTATAATGTAGGCATATTTTACAGAATTCTTACGGTTGACTTCTGACTGAGTTCTGTTGAATTGATGACAGTTTAGCATACTAAGTATTGCGTGTGACAGTGCGTATAGGCCTACAACTTGTAATAAGAATAATATTTTATGTATTTTCATGTATTTTATATAGGGGCCTATGTTTTTTTTTTATTGATTTGTACTATGTACAGTATTTTGTATGTAAATACGCCATGGAAAACGAATTTCCAACATGTTTTAATGTTTGGGCAAATAAAAGTTTATCTTATCTTATCTTAAAGTAAGGTACTTACTTATTGCTAATAAGTAAAGTTGTCCTACTTTAAGAAGCTTCATTTTTATTTTGCATTAATTCAAGAATAAGTTTTACTAATTATAGTATTGTATACGGTATCCTTTTTCGTACGAGATTTATTACTTTTCGTTTGACTAGTTTTAAGAATATACATCGTCCTATATTAAATTGTAGAGTAGCACAGGTCTATACCTACATTGTTGCAATGTCGTAAAGTACGGTTGAACACAATGAAACGATTATAATTACAACATATTTTCCATTGATTATAGTATTTACTTTCAAATTTTCTTTAACAATATCTTTACAGAAATAGCTGCATCAATAATTTCATTTTCCATTAGTACGGTAACATCCGGGTACACAAATGGCACAATAGTTTTAAAATCTGTGCCTATATTTTATTAATTTATACATGCATTTCATGGAATGAGTAATGTACGATAAACAACGAGTTGTTGATAAGCAAAATACCTTAGACTAGGCCTAAGAAACATTATTCAGCCTCAGAATTTTTTGACTCCATAAAGGGGTCTCAGCCTCAGTTTGCGTACTACTATTACTAATTCAGCCAATTTACTCCAGGCCTAGGATGAGAGAATCAATTGCGAACGGACGGTTTAAATACATGGTGATTTTGAAATAAATGATACAACATACTGGAGGGTGCGTTAAACATTAACGTGCCCCACAGATGCAGTTCTTAATACTAATAGTTTTTTGATTACCAGTTGTGAAGTTCGACTCAGCTAGGCCTAATTGGAGTCCCACCGTTATAAACTTGTTATTTCCACTTATGTGAACAAGAAAGAAATTGTTACAACTTACACTTCCAACAGCGTAGGTAGTTCAATTACCGTTCAGTCATACTTGGTCATTATATGCAATAACAGTTTACGATACTTGACAAATACTAATTTACACACAATCGTCAAAAAAACAATACATGAAAGTTTAACAAGATTACATCGAAGTATCCGAAACAAATAACTAGAGATTGTTTGTATCCATACGAGTCAAAATTTCAGCAAGTCAAAAGTGGAAAACAAGGCCACGGACACGCGATTATACAACTTGCTTCACAGAAGGCATTTTGAAGCCTGTATAACTTGACTTTTAACAAGCCATGTGTTAAGCGTTGAAACATTCAAAATGCAATTTGTGAATATCGCTGGCAAAATATTTATCGGATTTGAAAGAATTGTCACATTGGTCTCTATAAATTGGTGGTTCCCCCCCCCCCCCCCCCCCCCCCCCAATCCCTTATTATAGTTGCCATTTACGAGTGATCAATCCACGATGAACATAATATCGGATTTTATCGTATAAGCACCATTAAAAACACTTGCTCTTCAAATTAGTTCCTCATTTTTATCCTGGTCATAGTTTTTCAAGGCATCTTGGATTGGTAAGTATTTCTCTAGCAATTCTCCACGTCTGTTTAGCTACTTGGTCCAATGCGGCGTGTGAACTACCACCAAACAGGTCCAACCCATGAAGAAAGTAGTGGGGGCATCTACGGTTCTGTAGACAGGAGATCAGCTGGAGCAGTATACCGTTAATTCTGTCGAACATAGACGACTCAGTCCAGCTAATTTCTCGGGGATGTTTCTCGCATTCGTACAGAAGCAAGGTTTTCATGTGATAGTTTTTGACAGGGGATCCTGGTATGTCCAAGTGTTTGTCGCGTAATGTTTTCAGTATGCTGAGGCACTTCTTCCTGCAGCCCCCCTGCAGCAATTTATTTTCGGCATCAGTAAACGATAAGCCCCATGCATCCCCCTCTGCTGATGTTTGTTTCCCTGTTAATACTGGTATTTCTTTCGACAGTAGGTTGAATCCCTCTGTCTTCACCTCAGCTACTAGGCTAGGGGAAGGCCATGGAATTTGTGGTAACGGCCAATGTGCTGCACTTCGGGGCCAGATCCCACTGCATTTGAAAGCTGGGGTTATCTGTACAATAAAACGTTCTCGGACACGCAGTTTTACTTCTGATGTGTCGGCTATCATTTTTACAATGTCTCTATATTTGCACTTATCAACCGCCTGAGCAACTAGTGTTTGGAATCTCGAGCGGATTTTCCTAGCCGACAAATAACCAGACGCTGTGATAAATTCCACCCACAGGGACATGGACCGTTTTCGTCCGTCGCTTAGTTTCAGGACAGCACACCCAGGTACTGATCCATCGTCCACAAAGTTAAATACTCCCATTTGGTTCAAAAACAATACCACTTCAAATTCTGTGGGTGCGACAACTTCCAGGCCCTCGAATCTACCTTCTGTCTCGACCAGGGAGCTGATAAAACGAGGTTCCTGCACCTCTACTTCCTTCAAAATCTCTGTTACAATTTTACATACTTCTCGAATTGTTTTCGTAATGTTTGATTTTCGTCCGTTCACTTTATCGGTGGTGAATCGGTTTAACTGGTACATTAGTCGCTCCTGGTGACCAGCTAACATTATGGTAGACATGAGAGCCGTGCTATACAGGGCGACAAGTTCGATTTGTGGCGGCCCCTAGTGTCCTATAGGAGTCCCTGGTCGAGTTATTGTATCGGAGTGTTCAGTAAAGTATAGTTCCACCCTGTGTCATTCGTAAAGCTAATCAGAGTATACCAGTCAACGATTCATCTAGTTGTGTTTACGTTTCACGAATTCTGAGAGAGAAAAAAGAATGGCAGAGATTGTCTCATCACAACTCAACTAAACCAAGAACCGTCATGTGTGAAATTACGCCTGTCACTATTCGTGCATCCAGTGAGGTAATCAGCGGTAAGTGATGACGGTGGCCAATCAGAGGCCACGATATGTTCAACTTGTCACCTAATGTCAGGCGGATCGTTGTACCTGTGGTCCGCCCACTGTTTTCCCTTGTGACTGGGTATCCCTTTACCGAGCACCTGGGCCAAACTAGTGAAAAGTGTTGGTATCTGTCCCACGGTATAGTCAATGTTACGAGTGTTATACAAAGTTAATGAACAAATGCACTTTACGTTAGTAGTGCCACAAAGCCGGGAGAAGTGCTCTGTGTTGCGGCGTTAACTTTCCCCAGATGGTTTAACGGGACTTTGTCTAAATGCGGATTGCATTGCATCTAAAAGTACAGTGTACATGATGGGATGACACAACGTCATAGCTGAGTAGGCCTACTCAACAGATGCGCGATTCGACTTAATTGTAACTGCAGGTCGACACAGTTCACCAGGTGTCATGAACGAGTAAAACATAATATACAAAAATATACCATGAACTATATATAGGCTATGTATATAGGCCTATATATATATTATAAAGGTTATACTTACATTACTAGAGGTCATTTATAAAAATTGCTTGGTTTATTCGTTGTATTATTTATAATGCAGCTTTGAATTTACATGGAACAATGGTTAGGCCCTACAGTATATTAAAAAATACCAACGCATTTCACTATTTCTAATCATATTTATAAACTTTATGAGTAAACATCTACTCGTTGAGTGTGATTGACACTGATCGCCATACATGCAAGTCAACAAAATATATACATAAATCATCAGGAAGTTAAATTTGTTCTTTATAGGAGAAGAATTTCGCATATAAAAGCGTCGTTTCAATGTCAGTCCTTTCATATTTTTTGTTTTGGTCTTTTGTGGCAGATTGGCGCTAACAACGAGGTCCTCGTTATTACAGTATATTAGTAGGCCTATCTATCATTTTGCGATTGTAATTACTGTATTGTTATTATTAATGTTATTGACCTATTATTGCTGTCGTTAGTATTGATGTTATTATATTCTTAATGTTTATAGAAATATTAATATTTCGCATTAGGACCGTCAGGTAACAATGTCGGTCCTACATTACCGTATTCTAGCAGTGTGATTCCGTAATTAAATAAGTTTCAATAAAATATAAATATGAAAATCGAAAGAGTTTTGTTTAAAAGTAATTAATAAATATATATTGATAGAATTAAAATTTAACTTTTATTTGTTTGCTTGTTTTTTTGGTGTTTTTTTTTGTTTTTTTGTTTGTTTTTTTTTTGTTCTTTTTTTTTTTGCTTTTTGTTTTGTTTTGTTTGTTTGTTTGGTTTTTTTTTTGTAGCATTATTTTGGGTTTTAATTAGTATTGTGTTCACACTGTTTTATTGTACAGTATATTATTAGTACTTTAAACTGAAAACGTTTCGTTTGTGTTTCTGGTATTTGTATTCCTTGTTGGCACGTCTGTGCACTTGGCTCGGCTCCATGTCCAGTAATGCTGTTTTTATCATAGTTGTATTATATATTGACTTAAGCCTTTTTATATAATTATCACAAGTTAAAGGGTCAAGTTGTTGATTGAAATTTATAAATGAATTACGTCGATACGCGTTACCCACCCATCTGGTCACGTGGGATTTTTTGTTTTATTGAAATTTGTGTGTAAAATGGATCCACGCTAATTTAAAGCCGTCAGGTTGCTGAGCGAATCGAACAGCAATAGTAATATTTCACTAAAATTAAACGCGGTTTACTTTACTCATCAGAGCTCGTTATCGCTTTTATCGGTCATTTTTCTCGGCTAATGATGACATATCTCCCAGAATGAACAAGCTCCGTCGCTAAAGGAGGACCAATTTGCCATAAATCACAGTCTATCATTCTGCCTCGACATCTAAACTGCGCGGTTGTCTGCCCATCCCGAAATTCAGACGACCTCGGAGGTCAGGTGAATTACTCTTGAAGCAAACTCTCCAATCTATCTGCCCATTTACACCACGTCTGTTTGTTTAATAATTAACCGTGTTTGATTAGTTCAATTCGGCATGAAATAGTTTGAATTTGTGATTCTGTTGCAACCGTATCGGATGCAAGAGTAGACAAAACATTCGGCCTGAACGAGGTGGCGCCCGTCATGTAATTACTATCCCAACAGCGTATTTTACAGGAGGGATGAACAAAGTCTTTATCATTATAGTAATAAAGCATACATGTGCAATAAGCGGGTTTCATAATAATAATATTAATAAAGATAACCATAATTTTAATCGACTAATGCAGATTCATCTATCCAGGTTGACTATTATAAGTTTCTTTGTTTTCTGCTTTATCCAGAGATATATAACGTTTTTAATTTTATATTTATAATTATAATATTAATTGTTAAGTCCTCATTATTAATGTTTTTTCAATCATTATGCACCAGTCATTATCAATTGATTTGAGGCGCTTAGAAAAAATGCGGTAAAAATTTTTAAAAATAATAATAAAAATAGAATATTAATACGAAATAAGTGCTTTGAGACTAATTTGCTGATTAGTATTGCTGTTATTTTATTGCATTGATTACTGTGTTTCTTTGTTAAATGAGTAACAATTATTAAATGATAAAAATGAAATCTTTGTTACAAAATCATTATTCCGTTTCGTTTTAGTTCAAATTTTCCCATCTATTTTTTCTATTAAAAAAAAACAAAAAACAGTATGGAGGTACAGTATAAGCAAGACACTAAATTCCGTTGTTTGGTTAAGGAAACCCCTATCGCGATTTAAACGAGTTTCGTCAGAATGGTCATTTTTTTGCTTCTGACCAGTCGATGGAAGGATGAAATCTTGCATGTATCACTGACCACTTAGATCAATAAAGCGTGACAGATGACTCTCAGGCCGGAACCACTTCACACATGGTCAATAATAATATTGGCCAAAGAAGTAGCCGCCGATGAGGTTTTTGGTCGGCATTGCCGCTTCCTCGTGTGTTCCTCGCCTATAGGCCTACATCTGCGTCTCTAAAATATTAAAAATAATAATCTTTATTATCAAAACATAAGTTTTCAAATTCCGATAACTTTCAGATAGGAAAACAAAATCAGTGTTTAATGATTTACAGATATTTTACGACGAAATTTATTGCCAGAAATTTAATCGTAGGCCCGAGTGGACATACTATAGGCCTAGTACGCCTACAGTATTATTTTTTTTTAATGTCAGTTAATTGATGGAAAAGATTTTCTTTATTTTTTGGTTGGAAGATAGTATCTTATTGAACAAAAAATACACAAAGTAATTCATTAAATTTTGGTTTGGTTTTCAAGTTGAAACGACTAAGGTAGAAGTAAGTTTAAACTAAAAAATATCATGATTTCTGCAATAGCCATATTGGTGGCCAAGGGTGTGTACGTTAAGTTCCATGCTGCGTGCCCGGTATAAATGTAATATGCCTAAGATAAATGCGTAATAGGCCTAAAGATAATGCATAATAGACCTAAGTTGTAACGGTTTTTTCATTAGCGATTAAAATGATCAGCCTCGTTTGTCGTTTTCATTTTGCACAAAAATCTTGTTTTTGACCTTTCACGCTATCTAATCTCTACCTAATACTTCCATGCTATAATTACCTCCTTCTAGACTAACATACAGCGGCAATATGATTACATCGGGAAAAGTATTGTTTCTGTGACATTCTACCGTCGTTAGTTAATTGGATGATAGTTTAATAGGTGTTCTTACAGCTTTGACCCTGCCCAAGAGCCGCTAACCTACCCCACAGTCTCACGCCGGTAGGGTGCGCCCTTGTACCATAATTAAAACCTATTTTTCTATTCTCGTAATTGTGTTTATTTTTGCCAGTGCTATTTGACCCTATGAGTACGTAATTAGTTTGGTTTTATTATGCATCCGTAGGTAGCGCTTGCCGACGGGTGTGATAGTTGAAAGTACAGGTCTGTAACATTTCCAATGTTAATACATATCTGCCGTGCTTTCTATTCTACACCTGTGGCCCACAAAAAACGGAGACTTCACTCGCGGTTTGCGGCGTTTTTACAGGTGTATCGTTCAAGTGCAAGCTCGCACACAAAAGTTAAGAATATCCTCGGGAACATATTGGCATCCCAGAGAGTGCGTTCCATGTGGAATACAATTTCGTACAAGTTCTCACAATTAACGAATGGTTTTTATGCGATTTGTGAATTTGAAGAAATTCGGCTGTTTCTTTTATTAAAGTTCAATGTTATTTCGTTCACATGTATGTTAACATCATATTCAACCCGATGTTGCTTATCGAAGTATTTTGTTTATTCAATTAATAAACATAATTTTTGCTAAGTAGGCCTACTGCAGTCATCTGATTGGATCACATTTACAGTTATTAAATAGGCCTATTATTTTTATTTGCATATGCAATAGAATTTTCCTTAGTAGGCCTAACACACATTTATTAAAACTAAACTATTTGTGTCAAAATGTTTCTCCATATTATGCTCATTCTACTATCTATCTAATGTAATGTAAAATAAATTTAATGATGTGTATGATCGTTGGTGGCGCAAGTTGAATTTATATCGCACTATTGCAGGTAATGTATGTTTGAGACAACAAAAATAAATTAAAAAAATAGTTGAAGCAAGGAGGCACAACCTTTGTGGGGACATAAAGAAATAAAATAAAATAACAATTATTAAAGTTAACAGTTTCGTCCCCTTCCCAATTTTGATGTACACACATCAAAATGGGTATGTAACCTAGGCTGGTGCAAGCTTCTCATCGTTAATGATCAGTCTATGTTCGATTGGCCGTTGGTGCTAGCCTATCACCGTCATCATCACAGTGTTCAATATTTTAGGCCTATGTTGCGATCGGCTTGTCAATCAACGTCACATCATTGTCTGTTTACATGGTCATCAGTGCTAACCCTCAAATCCGATTCCTAATCTTTCACTATGAATGGGATTTATCTTCGTTTACTGAGTACATGATAGACGCTTTCTCAAGAAGAATAGGC